AATAATAATAATAATAATAATAATAATAATAATAATAATAATAATAATAATAATAATGTGTTATGTATCGTCATGTATGATCTCATACAAAGACTAAACTGGCTCTCTGTTTTTAACCCATCCTCCACCAGGTGGAGCAGTGGGCAGCTATGGGAGTGCCTGAGTGCAAATGAGAACGAGGTCTTTCAAGAAGAGTAAAGTTCATGTTGTCCAAGTCAAAGTCCTGAACTTAATCCAGTCCAGATGTTGTGGAAGGACCTGAAGCAAACTGTTAATGTGAAGAAACCACCAACATCCCACTTGTTGGTGTCACACCAGTTACTGAAAGCAAAGGTTCACATACTTTTACCATCACTAATATGTAATATTGGATCATTTTCATCAATAAATAAATGACCAAGTATAATATTTTAGTCTCATTTGTTTAACTGGGTTCTCATGATCTACTTTTAGGACTTGTGTGAAAATCTGATGATGTTTTAGATCATATTTATACAGAAATATAGAAAATTATAAACAGATCACAAACTTTCAAGCACCATTGTACCATGTCCTCTCTAACTGCATCCATACGTGTCGTCTTTGTCTTTTTACAAGGAAACTTTGAATAACAGAGATGCCATTTCCTGCATTTTGGTGTATTTTAACAGGTTGTTATACATCAACATTTACCTACATTTGTAAACACTTAATAAAATTACTATTTTGTAGAAGAACAGCAGGTTGTGTGTGAATGAGCAGATCTGATTCTGTCAGGTGTCCTCAACCCCCTCCTCCCTCCCCTCACTTCATGGTTCTGAGCTGAACTCTGTTGATTCAGTCCTGGTTGTTGCTCCTGCTCCAGTCTGGCACCGTTTGAAGCACCTGAAGGCTCCAGTTCTCTGTTGTCAGTGGTCAGACGGATGGACAGTCAATCCATCCATCCATCCATTTTTTATTAAAGTAAATGGGACTGTCTTTTTGACATTTTAATCACTGTTGTTATTTTTGACAAATTAGCGCCGTTGTTTTGAAACATGATGTATAATGTGACGAACATCAAACATTTCTATCTTTGTACTTTAAATTTATTTTTTACAGTAAGCTTTTTTTATTTATTATGTCTGAAATGTAGCAGGAGTTCAGACACCTGCTGATGTGTGCGCTCTGTTGAGCTGTCTGGAGACGTTTCTGTGCGTAACGTGCACTGTCTGCAGGTCATTCATTTATTCTTTGAATAAATTATAGTTTCTGTTTCGGGGGTCTGAGAGGAGGAGGGGGGGGGGGGGTGTTTTTCAGTGTGCAGCCCTGCTGAGGAGGGACATTATTTACCATACCATACCATACCATACCATACCATACCACTTTATTTATAAAGCACTGAAAACAGCGACAAGGCCAACCAAAGTGCTGTACAGACAAAACAACAGGTAACACACAAAGCAAAATACAAAATGTAGTAAATCAGAATATAGACCTAAAATCGATGCAGATAATCATGACTAACCAGTGTGGAGCATACAGGATCAAAACACAGATCATCTGGTGTTGAAAGCTACTGAATAGTAGTGGGTTTTTAAACGAGACTTGAAAACCGAGAGGGAGGTGGTCTGTCTGACAAGCAGAGGTAACTCGTTCCAAAGTCTTGGTCCTGCTACAGAGAAGGCCCTGTCACCTCTGCGCTTAAGACGAAATCCTGGAAATGTGAGGAGCAACTGGTCCGCTGACCTCAGGGAATGTGGTGGGACATACGGTTGTAGGAGATCAGAGAGATTGGGGGGGGGGGGGGGGGGGGG